TAAAAAAAATTCTTTTTTATGATTTATGAAACTTTTATCCTTGTTTTCTTTTACAGAAAGAAAAAAAATTTATTATTATTATTATTATTACTTTTACGCGAGGAGGTAATAAATTTTTTAATTATTAAAAATTTTTAACGGTAAACAAACCATTTTGATTTTTTTTTTGTTGAAGTTACGCGGTAATTTTTATTACGGTTTTACCAACACTTGAAACAAAAAAAAAAATTGTATGCAAACGATAAGCAGAAGACAATTAATTAATTCGTATTTTTTTTTTTTTAATCTCATTAAACCGCCACCAATTTTCAAATCAAAAATTAATTTTTTCACCTTTTTCCCTTTCCTCCTCTCCCTCTCTTTTAAACGTATATCGAAACCTCTCACAATTTTCACCTTTCGACCTCCCCACACCGGAAATTGAAAAAAAAAAAAAATTTTATTATGTTTTTAATTAATTTTTTTTTTTATTTAAAAATAATTTGATTTGAATGAAAATGACAGAAGGAGGAGGAGGAGAAACAAACAACAACAGCAACAGCAACAAACAGCAGCACGCGCACTCGACCGGATATTTATTCTCTTCAATCGAATTATTACCCATATCATGATTATTCATTAATTTTTTATTTGATTAATCGAATAATAATTGATTATTAATTGAGTCGTGGCAAAAGATATTATTATTATTATTATTGCTTTTCTTTTTTTTGATTTATTTCAAATTATAAAAATAAACACACACACAAACGCATAATCGAAATTACTGATCTAATTCATGTTAAAATTTTTATTATTGAATTTCATTTGTTATAAATTGTAATAAATTAAATTTAATTCTTTTTGATTACGTTACCTAACACATACTAATAATAATAATAATAATAAATAAAGATTTTCAATAAATAAATAAAAAAAATTACGTAATGGCAATTTTTTAAAATTTTAATTCTGTTTTTTTCCTCCTCTTTTCTTTTATTTAATTTTATTTCCTTATCAATATTTAATTTATTTACTTATCAGTATTAATAATTAATTAGAAAATAATAATAATAATAATAATAATAATAATTACTTTAAGATTTATTATCGAAGATCTTTTCACCAAAAAAAAAAACAAAAAAACGAATCGTTTTTCGTTGAAAATTTTTTATTAAAACCTTTTTTGCTCTTTACTAGCATTTTGTTTTGGTGAAAAAGAAACAAACCGGAAACGGATGTTTATAAATTTCACAGAATTTGTCTCCCACAAAACCCTTAATAATAATAATATTAAGCATTTATTTTTAAGGAATTGGAAAGAAATCTGGAATGAATGTTGAAAAAAAATTCGAATTTTTCGGGTTTAAAATTAATGACGACATAAATAATAATAATAATAATAATAATAATAATAAAATATTGAATAGAATTATTTCGAAGAAAAAAAAAATTATTATTATTATTAATATTAATTTAAAACAAATAAATAAAATTACTTCGTGCGTTTGTCTGTGTCTGTGTGAGTGCGTGTGAACGAGCATTATGTTATTAAAATAAATTCGGATTTACATAATTAAATAAATAATAATAATAATCATAGTAATAATAATAATAATAACAATAAATATGTTTATTACGTCGGATTTTATAACGCGATAAAATAATAATAATAATAACAATTTATAACGCAATCCGTTTGAATTAAATACTATTTTCGTGTTTCGACAAATTATTATCATTATTATCACCGTGACAATAATAATAATAATAATAATAATAATGAGGCTTATATATAAATGGTAAATAATTTAATTTAATTTAATTCGGTCTCACGTAATTAAGAAACTATTTTATTTCATTATTAAAGAATTCATTTTGCCCGTGTAAAATTCGTTTATTGTCTACGTCACAGACGTCGCCATAATTTCGTCTTTTTTCTCTTTCCCCTCTCTACCCCTTTAATCTCTCCTCCTCTCTCTTTTCTTCGGTTTTTTTTTTAGTTGTGGAATTTAAAAAAAAAAACAAAATTCCTTAACGTTATTATTATTATTTTACGCCGTTGTTTTTTTATTAGTGTATCATCACGGTTATTATCACGTATTATTATTATTATTATTATTATTATTAATCGTAACTGTGCTCGATAATTAATTAATTAATTAATTAATTTTATATTATTCTTTCCTACATATATTTAATTATTAATACATAATTGAGTTGTAAATTTTTTTTTTTCCGTATTGTTTTTGTTAATGATTTTCTCCTCCCCCTTGTTTTTATTTAGGTTAATTATTATTAATTATTCAAAAATAAAAAAGAAGAAGAAGAAGAGGTATTCATTCGAACGTGGCAATAGAAACACACGAATAATAATAAATAAAAAAAGTTAAATAATAACTTATTTAAATGCTTGTGTAAAAACGAGGTTAATAATACCAAAAATAAAAAACCTAAAAATAAAAAAAAATGTAATCAATCAAATATTTAAATATGTCGACCGCAATCATCGTCAATTTGCCCTGCCCCCCCCCTCATGTCACCTCCCCCTTCCCACCCACCACCCCCCAACTAACAAAAGACGAAGAAGAAAATTTTTATTATTACACATTTTTTTTTTCGTAAAATGAGATTTTCGAATAAAGAAGAAGGAATAGAAAAAAAAAGGTGACAAAAACGAAAAAATGGCGGCGTAACATGGCGGTAATATTACCGTAATAATTTGCCCTTTTTTTTTATGTAACAAATTAAATGAATAAGCAATAACCGTTTCGGATGCGATGTCATGTCATGCACTCCCTTTTTTTTTTTTTTCGTATGCCTTTCAACGTTGATGCCACGTTTTTTGTTTTCGTCTTTGTCTTTACACGTGCACGCGTGTAAAATTTTCATCATTTTCAAAAAAAAATTAATTTTTTATTATTAATTGGGTTACCACGTAATAATATTTTCAGGTTTTTAAGTAAAAATGTATCGCTCATCATCCAAAAAAAAAAAAAAAATGCGGAAATTGTTTAAAAATTACAAAAAAAAAAAAAAAATTGGCAAACGCGAGTGAATGCACGTGGAATTAGTTAAAAAAAAAAATTAGTACGGAACACTTTTAGTATTTTTTTTGTTTTTGTTTATTGGAAAGCAAATCGCTAAAGATTTTTTTAAATAATAATATTATTATTATTATCATTATGCCAACAAAACAAAAACAAAAAAAAATTTTTTTTCATATCGAACGATTAAAATCGATAAATCGATTTGAATTTTTTAATAATTTATCCTTTATTTCGAGAGTCAATCAGGAAAATCGACGTGGAAGAAGACAGAGTTCATAATAATTTTTTCCTCTTATTCTTATCATTATTATTATTATTTTGTTTTTAATCATTAACTATTACGTTGTGAAATATTCATTTGCATGATGGCGTGAAATTTTTGGCGGCAAAAATCTCACCTTTTGAAATTAAAAAAAAATTTTTTTTTTTCGTTGTTGTTTGTTGTTGTTGTTGTTAGAATTCAGGTCGCGGTACCTGAATAATAATGATAATAATTTAATGGATTTAATTTTTTGAATATTTTACAATGAGTTTAACTACGAAAATGAAGGGAAAAAAAATAAAAAAATACAAAGAGAAAAAAAAAAAAATTAATATATCAAAATGGCGTGTAATTGAGTTTAAAAAATCTTACGTAATAATTCCCACTCTCTCTTTTATTTTTATTTTTTTCGTTTCTCTCTCACTCTCTCTCTCTCTCTCTCTCTTTTCATTGATGACCTTGAAACGGTGATAAAACTAAACAACAACAGTATTACTATTATTTTTAATAATGTATCGCGCATACCTGGAAATTTTTTCCCTCCCTCTCTCTATCTCTCTCTCTATTTTTTTTTTCCAGCTTTGTTCTTTCACGCTCTCTATCTCTCTCTCTATTTTTTTTCCAGCTTTGTTCTTACACGCTCTCTCTCTCTCTCTCTTATTCTAATAACCATTGTCCGGTATTTCCCACCACAGAAAATAAAAATTATTGACAAATTTCAATGGATTTTTATAAATACAAACGTTGGAAACATTTTTTGTTCAGTGAATAACATCATCGGATTCAAACCGTTCGGTTAAATTTTATAAATTCTCGTGTGTTTTTTAATTCGAGTGTTTTTCTCCAGTGAAATTCATTATTATTATTATTATTATTATCATTTTAAAAAAAAATGATTTTCTCAACGGTAAATATCGTTTCATTTTAATTTTTTTTTTTTTTTTACTTTTAGTTTTCGATCCAGCTGACACGTCTTTCTTTTTATTTAATTAATCTTTTTAAACTTTTTTTTTTTTTTGTAAAAATTCATTTCGAGAGAGAGAGAGAGAGATAGAAAATCAATTTTTTATTTAAAATTTTATCTCGTCGTGACGCATCCGCCATTTTTATTTTTTTATTTTTACCATTTTTTTTTTTTCATTTTCAATCCGAACGAAATTTTATACACACTACATTTACTCTTTACCAAAGGTAAAATTCATTTTTTCTTTCTTTATTTCTTTCCATCCCTCCCCCCATACACTCCTTATTTTTGTAATCATCATCCCCAACCTTCGAAGCATAAGACTAAATAAAACAACCCCTCGTTAAACTTTATAGATATATTTGAAAATTTTCAAGATTTAAACTATTAAAATTAATATCGGTATATCTCTTTTCGAAATGAAACGTTTACAAATATTTACAAACCTTTAGGAAAATTCAAAAACGTTCAAGTCGGTCGATCTCCACTCCGCCCCCACCCCCGCTCTCGCCCCCACACACGACAACCGTGATACAAACCATTTAACGTTTTTCCATGTGAAAATTTTACATCCAAAGCAATTTCCCGGTCATTTAAACATTCGATTTATAACGTCATTTATTTTTTGTTTCCTCCTCCCCTCCTTCCTTTCCAATCCCATTTTCGAATCAAATCGTCAATTCTAAAACCACGTCGTAATAAAAAATTTTCTTTTTTTCAAATTGAACAGGTATTTATCGTATTGATGTCTTTTTTGGCTACCGTTTTCGGTGGAGTTGCTCCAGTACAAAAAAGAGGTTTGGTTCATTACGACTACGATTCCTATGATTTACAAGGACAAAATGGTCTCGATGATTATTCTCATGGATACAATTACGCTCATTCACTTCCAGCTTATTCCACGGTAAAATTTTTTTTTTTTTATATAAAATGTCGTTACGTAAAAAAAAAAAAAAAATCGTTCAACCTATCAAATTTTATACGTTGCGTTTATAATAATAATAATAATAATAATTACAAAGAGTTTTAAATATTATCATTATCATTATCATTAATTATTTTTTTTTCAGGTGAGCTACGTCATGCTCAACGGTTTTCACAAACCGGTCACTTATTCTGGTTTCACAAGCCACGGAAGAGGACATTACGATCCAGGATATTCCGTACAATTCCGTTCTGAAGGACAACTTCCGGAACATCACGAACATCACTATTAATGCGGCCATTTTAATTCGTAACAAACAAACAAACGGAAGAAATAATGGGAACGTGCAATAATTAAACAAACAAATAATAATAATAACGATTTACTTAAGTAAACGACGAAAAATCGATATTAATAATAATAATTTATTAATATTAATCGATTTTTCGTTTTGTTTTTTTTTTTAATAATCATAATAATAATGTTAATAATAATGATTATAATTATTACTATTACTACGTTGTCTGTTGACTGTGATACTCGAACAATAAAATAAAAAAAAAAAATTATCATCAATAAAGCAAAAATTGTTTCTTTTTTTTTTTTAATTTTGGTTTTTATGATCCTGATGATCACTGGTGCCACGATATTTTTTTTAATACGATATTCTTACGTAAAACTGTCGTTATAAAAACAAACAAACAAACGAGAGCGATGTTACGAAGGAAAAAAAAATTATTTCATTAATTCGATTCGAAAGGAAAAAAATTCATAATGATAATAATAACGAGAGTAAAAAAGAGAGAGAGAGAGAGAGAGAAAGAGAGAGAAAGGTTTCGACGAATGTGATATGAAGATGTAATAAT